TGCCAGGACAGAGCTGGAAGAGGGATTGTCTTACACGGAAGTTGGGCCCTTTCCCTTGTCACTTTGCTGGCTGAGGAGAAAGGTGCGTGTAGGGGGAATAATGCGAAGTCAGGTTTGAGCTCAGACCAGCCTGAGAAGAACGTCTGTGGTCCTGGAGCTGCAGCGCCTTCCTGAGCTGGGCGCGGGGGAGCTGCACCCCTGCTCCCCTCGTGTTGCCTCAGATCCCCCCAAACCCCGCTCCCCCCTTGCACAGAGGTGGACACTGAGTCACACCGCCTGTGGGGCACACAGAGCGAGGACCAGGCCCGCAGCCACCCTCACCTGGCTGCTGGGCCATGGTCTGCCCTGAGGCCCCAGCTCCCTTGCCCCCATGCCACCCCCCCCCCCAGGTCCCTCGAAGGCACTTGGGCTCAGGCCCCTGGATGCTCTTGTCCCCTCTCCCACCCCTCCACCAGGAGCAGACCCCCCACTCTGCTCCTGGAGCCAGCAGGTTCTCTGGAGGGTGAAGCTGGTGTGGGGGCCCCCAGGGACACCTCCTGCACCTGCACCAGCCCTGGGGAGGCTGGGACTCCCCCACCGGAGCCTGGGCTGAAGCTCATGTCCAAGAGGAGAGAGGCTGGGAGGAGCGCCTCTGCCCCAGCTCCAAGCCCCCAGGACCCTGGGGCAGGGGGGAGGCTGGCTATAGCCCTTTTATAAATATCACACAGACACACACACGTGCGCGCACGTGCACACACACACACACACACACACACAATCCTCTCTTGGCTCTCATCCCAGGCAAGGATGCCACATGGTTGAGTGCTTTTATAAAATTTTTATTTTCCAATTACATGCTCATTGTAACAAATCAAACAATGTGTAAATGGGGAAAGGGGGCAGAGAAAGGCCCTTCCTCTCCCAGCCCAGTCCGAGACCTGGTCCTAAGCTCCTGACACTTGGTTGATGGTGCTGGCTCAGGGGTCAGGTTACCAGGCCCGATTCTGGGCTCCAGCACTTCACCAACCCCAGAGCCTTGGGAAATTTGCTTCATTTCTCAGTGCCTCAGTTTCTTCATCTGAAAGAATGGAATAGTACTTATCTCATGAGATTGTTATAAGGATTAAATATTTAGATAAGTGCCTGGCAAAGAATAATACTAGTATTCAGTACATCATTAGCTATTTTTATTAAATATGGCTTGTAAAATCCAAAGTGAGTGTTAACGCTATACATATTGTGCTGCAACTTCCCTTTTTCATTTTACAATATGTTGTAGGCTTCTTTCAAGTCGGTACATATGGCACTTCCTAAAATGGTCCGTGTAGACTTTTATTTGTATGAAGGTACTTTCATTTATTCTTTTAGATAGGGTCAGATATTCACACTACGGTCAGGTGCCGCATAACAATGTTCCAGTCCGCAGTGGACCGCATAGATGACGGTGGTCCTATAAGATTATAATGGAGCTGAATTTCCTCTAAGAAATGGAATGATATGTGGTTCAGGAGGGATTTTTTTTCTCTGATGGGAGCAATATCTGTGGGGCCCGGCAATAGATTTCCTCCATCACAGCACCTCGATTTGAACACACAGATTCCCTGCTAGTCATTGAGCTACTGACCCGGTTCAGCACAGAGGGCCTCCCTCCCCAGGCTACACACTCAGAGGGCGCCGCAGCCCTTCCTGGCCCTGCTGATGGGCTTCAGCGAGCATTGCTGTGTGTTCTTTGTTGAGGACCTAAGATCCCATACAGGACACAGGCCCACAGGAGCTACCTTAACACACATTAATGCCACAGGCACTTCAGGAAAAGCTCTCTGCGGTAGGGTGGGGTGGAGCCCGCCAGGCGCTGCTGTCCCTGCACTGTGGAAGTACTTTCAGGTTGTAATGATGTAAAGCAGAGATGGTTTATTCCTTCCATCAGTTCAACGCCAGAGAGAGCCCTTTGTGCCAGACGGAACCAAAGACAAATTTCTGAAGTCAAAATATTGAACCCTCAGTTCATAACTTTTTGTTTCGTTTTGTTTTTCCGATGGCTCATAACTTTTATAACATTTTAAAGGGAGTCACTACTCCCCAAAAGATTAAGAATCACTTGCATTATTATGCCAACACCAAGACCTCAACTCCTACCTATTACCTTCAAGGCCCCACCACATGGCAGCTTGGAGAAGCCTCCTCCTCCCACCTCCCAACCCCACGGAAGATCCGTCCACGCCTGGGCCCAGGCAGGGCGCCATTGGAGCCCAGGAGAAGCGGGCTCACATCCTGCTACCCGGCCCCGCCCGCACGCCGCCCTTGGTTCTTCGGAAGACCTCCACTTCCCAGTACTTTCTACCCTCGCCCACCTCCTGCTCCTCTGCGGCCAGCTCCATCCCCCCAACCCCCCACCACCCGGTTACGGGTTCCTGGGACGCTGCTTTGAAGTGGAGCTCCCAGTTATGCAACCAGGCCCGGTTCTCAGTTCTTCAGCCCCGCTGCCCCCTCCCAGTCTTCTCCTTGGAACCAGATATGCGCGCAGCTAAGCAATAGCCCCGCAGAAAAATGAAGAAACTGTCACTGTGTTCCCGATGCGCCCGACCTGAGGGCCCCGCCCAGAGTCTGGGAAGGACCGCACACAGGCGCCCCGCTCTGAGGTCCGCGCTTTAGCTTTTAATGTTTGTTTCTTTTCTTCTCTGCTTGTCACTACCTTTGTCCACCAGCAGGAGTGTCGAAGCAGCTGCCAATAATAAAATAAGGGTCTATGTTTGCACCTGAACGTTAGACAAGAGGGCAGTTAGATCCCAATATTTAGAATCTTGGGGTGCAGTTGGGCCCCGTGTATAATAGGATAACGTCCGCGGACCCATCCACTTTGTGAGGTGGGGGCACGCGCAGGGAACCTGTCATTGTGTGTTTAGGGCGCGCACAGCCTCCAGACTGTTCTGTAAGGGATGAGCCTACCACTGCCCGCGGCCTTCCAAAGAGGCCTGTGGAGAGGGTGGACGCCCTGGCCCGGGCTGGGCATTGCCCAGGGGGAGGCAGCTGTGCACGGAGCTGCTCAGACAGGTCTTTGAGCGCGGGAGCTGGGGACCTGAGCGCCCAGGGACTAGGCCCAAGTGCAGGGCACAGTGAGAGGCCTTTGTCAGGGTGGTGCGCCCTGTTCCCAAGGGTTGGGGCTGACCCGGACTGTGCGTTCTTCCTGCTTTAGCCTTCGCTGAAGCCACCATCGTCGCTTGGGAGCTGAGCAGAGGCCCATCGCCCCAGGAGCTGTCCTGCTCCTCACTGAGTCCTGGAGGGTGGACAAGAGGCTGCAGACCTCCTGGGACTCAGGCCCTTAGCTTGCGGGCTTCGCAGATGGGGGTCCTAGCTGGGGTCCTCCAGACTGGCGGGAAACCTTTTACCGGTGTTGGGAGGAGCCTGGATGATGAAATCCAAGAGCTAAAGTAGCTCAGGTGAAAGGTGGTGTTCCTGTTAGGGGAAGCCAGGGAAGGAGAAGGACTCAACTCTGCTGAGGGAAGGAAGATTGGTGTGTGTGTGTGTGTGTGTGTGTGTGTGTGTGTGTGTATGTAATGATGGGGTGGGGGACAGTGGAGGTAGGAGAGCATTGTCACTTGAGAATTCATTCGTTGCTTATTCAGCAAACACTGGTTCAGTGTCTGCCCTGAGCCTGCCATTGTAGTAGGCCCTGAGGGTGCACCGACCCAGGGTGCTATCAGGGGAAGTAGTGGGAATGTAGTCATTGGTTTTGACTCAGGGAGTGGATATGAGAGGGTCACTTTATTAACTATGCTGGTGCAATTGTTATCAGATGCACACGATGCTGACCAGTTAGAGGTTAGAGGTTTTGTCAGTGTTGCCAGGTTTGTATCCAAATGACACTCTGTGGTGTGGAAATTGTCTTGTGGGAGCCCGAGCAATAAAGCTCTTTTCTCTGCGCATTGACCAGCCCTGAGCTCATTTTTGCATGCCCCAGGGCTGAAGCTGCCCAGTCAGGGAAGACCAAGCACCTTCCTCCCTTGACCAAAGGAAGGGATCCATGCCCGGGTGGGACCATGTCTTCCCAGGCCTGTTCTGAAGGGGGTGAGGTGTCATGGGAGCGAGGTTACAGGGAAATTCTAGGGGTGCAGAGGGGATGGTGGCTGACACTCAGGCTCTAATTAGTAGGGGCTGGCCCTGCAGGACCTAGCGTCCTTCCTCCTGGCTCTTCTCTGCCTTTTATTGACCCATCACTTTCTGGGTTCATCCTTTCCTGCTCCTGCCACCCTCTTTTCCAATAGCAGCACTGCCCAATAGTCTGCCCTTGTCTTCCTATTAGAACTTATGGCTTCCTGTGCTGCCCTCTGTATTGTCTCACAAGTAAATGCACTGTACAGTCTAAATCTAACGTCTCCCACATATTTCTCAATCTTAGGCCCTCTGTCTACCCAGTATTCTGCTTTACTGTAGTGTAGTAGCATGATACATAAATGTAGTATTATGATATAAAAAATGTAGTATCATGATATACAAATATCTACTGGTCCCTAATAATAGGGAGGCAGTCTGGGATTCCATGTGGCATCACTGAGCATGGACATATAATGCCCAGCAAAGGTATCATCAATGATCTATAACTTTAGGGCATAAGGCAACTGAAATGGCAATGTGTTTGTTTAAATATTTATCCTCACTGAGGACATGCTTAGAGAGAGAAAGAGAGAGAGAAGGAAGAAGGGAGGGAGGGGAGGGAAGAGAGAAAGAGAGAGAGAGAGAGAGAGAGAGAGAGAGAGAGAAAGAGAGAGACAAGAAACATCAATCAGTTGCCTTCTGAACCTGAAACCCAAATATGTGCTCTGACCAGAAATTGAACCAGCAACCCTTTGGTGCACAGGACAACACTCAACCAACTGAACCACTCAGGCTGGGCGATGGCAATGTGTTTAGACTTGAAGCAACATAGACCCAAAGCCTGGACAGTCAGAGCCAGGACTCATAAGCAGGTGTTCAGACTTCAGCTGCTGAGCTTGTCAGTAGCCCCGCTAGTCGCTGCCACTGCGTCACTTCTCCCAGAGATCCTCAGTTAGGTGAGGATGGGTCACCTTCAGGGCTTGGTAGAGTTGATCTTTGCAGGCCCAGTCCCAGGACTTGCTGAAGCTGAACAGCTTCCTCATTTTGTCTGGATTAGTGGGTTCAGCCCGCACCCTCTCATACTGCTCCTCGCTCAGCACCTGTCCATGCAGCTTGTCCAGGACTGTGTCCACCGATGTCACTCGAGTCACCAGGTCCTCCCGATGCTGGTCCACAAAGTGCAGCAAAGTAGGGGCATCTGGGGGTGAAGGTGAGGCCAGTAATGAATAAGAAAGGGTTTCCATCACATCCTCTCCCCCTAATTCCCCAGCCTAACTCTTCACTCCCTTTATCTGCATCCCTGGCTCCTACCTGATCCCCACACGTTTCCTGGACCAGAAAGGTACCTCTGCCCTCCCTCATGTCAACTTCCAGCCTAGCATTCTGCTGAACTAAGGGTGGGGGTGAGGTTCATGATGGAGACATTTGAGATTGTTCAGTGGAAGGTGCCAGAGCCATGATGGGCAGGAATAAAAGGGATGGGGGAGAACTCTGCCCTGGGGCACACACCTGTCCAAGGACTGAACCCTTGTGAGGTTTAATGAGTCCCCTTTCTTTCTCTCCTCCCTCCCTCCAGGACCAGGCAGCACACTCCAGAACTGCCATGGCTCCTGTGGTCTCTAACAGCTGTCACTGACCTGTCATGGCTTGAGAGACCAGGGGAGCTTCAGGTCTGAGGTCTCCTGGAGGAAAAGAGATATGATTAAGCATCAGTATCAATGGTAGTTATTAACAAACGATAAGCCTTGAAATTCCTACCCACTTTTCTCTTTTGAGATTTATTCTGAGAACAAGCTACAGACTAATTCTGATAGAACAAGGATTAAGGGTTGCAAGTGCCCTTAGAGACAATGTTGATGAATCATTTCCTCATGCCTATTGGGAAACTGAGGCCCAATTTTTCCATTTACACCCCTTTGCACATGGTTTAATTTTGTCTTGGCCTGAATGGAACTCTGGTGGAGAAATAGCCGAGAACTTTGCTAGATATCTTCAACGATGAGATCTCCTTATTCTGAGCGTAAATCTACCACCTTGATCTTTTTTGCACTTTGATTCCCACACTGGTTGTTCTGGAGTTTGATATCAGAATCAAGAATTAACATCAAGAAAATCTTAGCACCTCAGAGTAATAGGTAAATTTCAATCGAAAAAAAACAAACAAAAACAATAACAAAAAGGGGATTAAATAATTACTTGCATGTGGAGAGGAAGGGGGAGTCCACAGCAGCCCCTGTGGACAGGGCCTGAGGTTTTGAGCGGACCCAAGTTCAGTGTGACCTGACAGTGTGGGAGGGAAGTCAAACACAGGGGAGCTCCGGTTGTGGTGCTGGGAGCAGCGGTTCACTTGGATGGAGGAAGGAGGGTGTCCATGTCCTCCATGCTGACTGGACAGTCTTAGAGTCTATCCTGACTCATCCTCACATGGGCACATCTACTGAGGAGGCAAAGATGTTAAAATCCAAAATGTAAGAGAAATGATGGAAGAAAATAGAGGTGTTTAACTTGCACAGGAGGAGACTTAAGGGAGGCTATGATCCATCTTCAGGTTCCTTAAGGGCTTTCCCATGGGGGTGGAGATAAATTCTTTTGTCAGCTCCAAAGAGCAGGATTAAGGAGGTCATTTAACATAAGGATAAATTATAATACTGCTACTATTTATAACAAGGGCAGGGAACGTCTAGCCTAGTGGTTCTCAACCTTCAAATGCTGTGACCTGTGGGTCGAGACCCCTTTGGGGGTCGAACGACCCTTTCACAAGGGTCATTCGAAATTTCACAAGGGTCATTCGAAAATACATCCTGCATATCAGATATTTACATTACAATTTATAAAAGTAGCAATGTTATAGTTATGTCATTAGTCTTGTACTGACTTGTTTGGTGTGCACGACAGGAAGTATTTCACTTTCGGAGAACAAGAAAAATAAGTTTGTTTGCGTTACACTTATTAATTTGTGCAGTTATTCCGTATCTGGTAAGTTAATATTCAAGAAAAAATATTAAATTTTATTAAAATGTTCTATTATTTTATGTTAATGATTACTCATTTATTTTAGCCCTTTGTATTCGGTATGTCTCTATTGAAATAAACCTACATTTCAATGAAAATTAAAGCTTTTATTTGCAGCCCACATAAACTTAAACCTTGTTTATTTGGTCTGTGTTAGCTTTTGAGTTTGACATGCTTGATGTACATAATTTATTTAATCTTTCCAATAATCCTACAAGTTAGGCCATATGACCCTCTTTTTATAAATGAGGAATCTGACACTCAAAAGGGTGAAGTCATTTCCCCAAGATCACCCAGCAAGTAAGTGCCAGAGTGAGATTCAAAGGAGGCCTGATGCTGGGGCTGGTTAGTCCACACCTGTGATTGCGCCTGAGCCAAGAGGAGTAAAGACCATTATCTTTCCCCTCCCTGGAAAGCCTGTTGTGGCACCTCAGGAGGCAGATTCACTATATATATTTTTGATGTTGTTAATCCTCACCTGAGGATATTTTTTCCATTAATTTCCAGAGAGAGTGGAAGGGAGGAAGGGAGGAAAGAGAAAGAATGAGAGTGAGAGAGAATCATCAATGTGAGAGAAATACATTGATTGGTTGCTTCCCACATGCACCCTGACTGGGGCCGAGGATCGAACCTGCAACCCAAGTATCTACTTTTGACAGGGAATTAAACTGCAATCCTTTGGTCCATGGGCTGATACTCTAACTACTGACCTACACTGGCAAGGGCCAGATTCACTAGGCTTTAACATTGAACATGATCTGCTTTTTCCTAGAAGGAATTTTATTTTTAAAACATGTTTTTATTAATGATTGCAGAGAGAGTAAGGGAGAGTGAGAGAGAATTAGAAACATCAATGATGAGAGAGAATCATTGATAGGCTGCCTCCTGCATGTCCCCTACTGGGGATCGAGCCCACAACCCAGGCATGTGTCCTGACTGGGAATCAAACCACGACCTCCTTATTCATGTATCGACTCTTCCCCTCTGAGCAACACCAGCGGGCCCTAGAAGGACTTTTGAGGGATTTTGCTTCTTTGGTGTGTTGGTGCTTGTTTAAGACACTGTAAAGTTACATTCATCCCTGAAAGTTCATTATTTGATTTCATCTTGTTTACTTTGAAGATATCTGAATGATCCAGGGTAGTGTATGTGCTATTGCCATAATTGGCTCAATTCATACAACCATATAACTGTCTAGTTCTTATTTTTCATCTCATATCCAATCAATTATGAGAAATTTTGCCAAATGTCTTGTGGGTGTCAAAATCTGTTAAATCAAGGGCAGTGTAGAGACACCATGGTGCATGGGAGAGAGAATGGAGCGTAGAGTCAGACCAACTTTAATTCAAATTCTAGTCATACCAAATGTTACGTAACTAGAAAAAAATCACATTACTTCTCTGGGCTATTTCTTCTCATCAGCAAATTTTGATATCTATCTCTCTCTCTCTCTCTCTCTCTCTCTCTCTCTCTCTCACAGGCAGACTCTTTTATTGACTTTCTGTTTCCCACCACTGAGCTCCTTGGACTTGTCTTGACTTTACCTGATTTCACCAAGGCCTTCCATACCACAGTCTCATCATCTTTGCTTTTAATCTGCAGTCGGATCCCCGACACAAAATGACCAACGTAGAACTCAGAGAAGAGCTGGGGTTTCCCAGGGCTTCGATAGCAGAGCTCCAGTTCCTGAAGAAAAAGTGGTGATGTGAGAAGCCACCATTCATCCTGCATGTGAGGTGTCTCCCCACCTGACACCTTCTTGGCCCTGCTCAGCCTCATGGGGACCCTTGGATGATCTCTACTGAAATTAATGCCACCTCAGGCACTGCTCATTTCCTCATTTTCCACAAATCCTGACTCAGAAGGAAGAGGACATGGCCGGGTACCCCATGGATGAGTCAGGACTCACCCATAATGTAGTGCTCACACATCCTAAACCAGATCCTTCTCCCTTCATCTTGAACCAGATCCTTCTTCCTCCATAACCCCCATCTTGAACCCAAATTCTAATTTCTCCAGCCCAAAGACTGTCTTCTTAATGGATCCTAAGCTTGACATACCTTTTTTTTAAAAAGGTAGTAACATAGTAGTTTATTATCATTACCATATATTTTTTAAAAATATCATATATTTTTAAAATATCATATATTTTTTAAAAATATATATTTTTATTGATTTCAGAGAGGAAGGGAGAGAAATAGAGAGATAGAAACATCAATGATGAGAGTGAACCATTGATTGGCTTCCTCCTGCATGTTGGACTGAGCCTGAAACCCAGGCATGTGCCCTTGACCAGAATCAAACCTGGGACTTTTGGTCTGCAGGCCGGCACTCTATCCACTGAGCAAAACCGGCTGCCATAGTCAGCAAAGTGCGGCTCGCGAGCCACATGCAGTTTTTTGGCTCCTTGAGTGTGGCTCTTCCTAAGCCTTAGGAGTACCCTAATTAAGTTAATAACAATGTACCTACCTATATAGTTTAAGTTTAAGAAATTCTTATTACAGACTAATCTGATGCTGCCATCTCTGCTGAGTTATCCACATACAATCTCACAATTGCCAAACTTCGCCCCATTCCACTTTAAAATGAGCTATTTCAGCAATTATACCTTCACACTTGTAGTGCCTGCCCTTCCCAGAGAGAAAATGTGTAGAGGTTCCCAATCATAGAATTGCCCTGCCTTCTGACAATACCAGATCTAGACCAAATCTTCATTTCCTTAGATCTTCCCCAAAATTACCCAACTAAGGCCCAAATCCTGTAATAGGTTCTTTCTGCGTCTCTTGATATGAGGGGCCCCACGGTTCCCATTGGTGTGCGTTCTCTCACTGCAATGAGTAATAATCCCACTGTGTTCAGCTACAGGTGTGTTCCTGTTGGTTTTGCTTGAAGAGCATCAACACCCTATAGCCCAACACTTCTCACTTCCCCTAAGTCAAACCCCATTGTTATCCCTATCCTGAATATGAACCTGCCTCTTACTATCCTCCTTTCTCCCAATCTTTGAAGCATTCCTGCTTACCCAAAATTCCACTCGCTGTCTGCCCAACCCTAACTGGGCCTGCCCCTGGGGGAAGCTCTGAAACCTGCCTCACAGCTATTCCCAAGCATGACCTTTCAGGGAGGAGGGGATATCTAGACTGCTCACCTCAGGGATTATTTCCAACTTGTCTGAACCAGACACAGTATATCGGGAGCCCAAGTAGAGTGGTGTCAGCGGGGGCGGCTTGCGTATTTGAAAAAACTGGAACTTCTTTTCTTCATCATCTATGGCCTAAGGGGCATACAGACACTGATTAAGAAAGGAGGGTTTGGGGTCTAATCCAGAGATTCCACCCTATGGAATCTGGTCTGAACAAGGTGAGGTGGTGTTTCCACATATTTATGTGGGTGAAGGGGTTATACCACCCATGAACTCTCCCACTCCAATGACTGCTACACAGAGATCTCCACACTTGGCCAGTGCTGGGTTCAGGGTGTGAATTGGGGCATTGCTAGAGAAGAAGTGAGAATGGAGGAATGGGTGCAGCTCTGGGCAGGAGGCCCCTCCCATCCTTCTGACTCCTGGAAAGAAGCTGCAAAGGTTGTCTAGCAATGAGTAGTGAAGCAGTGAGCCCAGTCGGTGGAGGCCTTGGGGACAGGAGACCAGTCCATGTCCCATACTTAAGCCCAGTTGACCCATCTAGGGGGCTCTCTGGATGCATGTCATGTCTCTGTCAGCCCATCCTGGCCTGCCCTTTCCAGCTATTGGGGCAACCTTTCGAACGGTGCAGTCGCTGGGGATTAGGTAGAGATGGAAGTTGACTTCCTCGGATTGGAGGCGATAGTAGAGCAACACGTTGGAGATGACAGGAATGCACAGGGCTGTATGGATCATTCTCTGTAGAACGCCCATGGGGGAGAAGCTAGGGTTCTCCAGGACTATGTAATGTGGCTCCACACTGGCTGGCTTTTCCATTAGTATCCCATCCTCTTTAATGTGGGCCACTTGGAACAAAGATATGTCCACATGTTGCCCTGAAAAGAATAAATTTGAAAGGTGAGCATTTGGTGCCCTCACTGAGTCATGTATGCCTGGGCAGTGGGGTCCTTAGGCATAGACTCAGTGGCCTATCTGGGGAACCCAGCAGGGAAGGCAGCATCCTGGGTCTGGGTCCTTTTGTGGTTGTGGGCAATAGGTTTTCCAGAGTGGGAGCATCGCGAGAAGCCACTCAAGCCAAACCTTTACAATAGCGTAGCTTCTCCATATTTTTCCTCTATGGGATTTGGTTGTGTTCTTGGCTTCTCAGTATTATTTGGTCAATGTCTTCTTTTCCTTTAATGCTTGTGTCTAATTGTTTCTAAAGTCTATGAGCTACTCGATAATATTCTTATACATTCCTTTTCTTCCCCAATCAGCCAGAATTGGTTTCTTTGATTGCAGCCAAAATCTCTGACCAGTATACCAGGTGTGGACATTGTCACCACAATAGAGAGCTTGAGGGATGAAGGCTGGTAGTGGGAGATACACTGGCCTAAATGTCAGGAGTCCTGGCTCCATCCCTGTGTTGCCTGGAAATTGCTGCAATGCAGGCCATTTCTGGGCAGCACAGGGACATCCAGCAAAGCTCACAGGCCCTTGGTCTGCATGGGCACCAATCAGCACATGGCTGACTGATTTAATCCCAGGAGCAACTGTGGAGACTACAGATAAAGTTTTCTCATTTATTAATTCCTTCTTATGTGTGTGTAAAAAATAATATCATAGTGGTGTATACCACCTGACAAAATGCAGAAATATTTACATCTGATCTTACCAAGCAGTACAACTATTATTACCATCTTTCCCTTTTCCATTAGTCTTTCTCTGCAGCAACACCTTTCCATGTTTTCATTTTGGCCATGTAGCTTTGCCTTTCCCAAGCTGGTTTAAATTTCCCCAAGAGCCTGTGGACCTTTCTAATGACTGCAGTACTTGATTCCTCCTAGTGGATGTAGCATCCCTAGTTCACTGCTTCTTGTTTTAGTGTTGAGGTTGCTTCCACCTCTTTGCTATGATAGATAGTCCTGCAATGCACATGTTTCTGCAAAGAACTTTTCTATTTCCCTTGAGCTATTACCTTGGAATTGTAAGTCCCAAGGGATAAGAAAGTGTGTGAAAGGATGCCAGGTTTTGCCAAATTGCTTCTCCAAGAGGTGGTGCACTTTGCACTGCCTTGGTGACACTAATTGGATGATGTTACCTTACCCTCCACAGAACTGGAATGCCCTCATGTGTCAGATGGGGGAACTGAAGCTCCTGGAGGGAAGTGCTTTTTCGAAGGTCATGAGTCAGCTACAGCCCTGGGCTGAGATCCCTGCTCTCAGACCATAGTTCGCGGCACTTAAACTCTGTGCCACACTAATTTTGACTGAATTCTGGATGGTGCTGTGTGTGTATTCAACTTGCCTTCTTGCTAAGGTGACCAGCTGTCCTGGCTTGCCTAATGAGAGGGTTAAGAACTGCATGTAGGACCTCACCAATGAGGGTAAAAAGCAGCTAGTGCCAAATTCCTAAATGAGGCCACTATTAGTCACTGAGGTCATTGTTTCCAGGACAACAAGAAGCTTCAGCCCAGACAGCAGGCAACAGGGATTCCTGGGGTCTTGGTTTCCTGGCTGGGCTCAGCACAGTGAGCTACAAGGAGACTTTGTGCATTTTGCCTCTTGCTTTTTGTATACTATCCCAAAGGAATAGTCCTGACTGGTTAAACTTTAACCAGTGGTTCTCAACTTTCCTAATGCTGCGACCCTTTGATACAGTTCTTCATGTTGTGGTGACCCCCAACCATAAAATTATTTTCGTTGCTACTTCATAACTGTAATTTTGCTACTGTTATGAATTGTAATGTAAATATCTGATATGCTATATGTGTTTTCCGATGGTCGTGACCCACAGGTTGAGAACCGCTGGAAGGGTGAGGTCTAGAATTTGGCCTAGAGAACGCTGGTGGACATGGGCTTGGGTAGACCTGGGGTGAGTATTGGTGTAGCACTGTTCCTGGTGGTAATATACCTGGGTTAGAATCTCAACTCTGGTCAGGTATCTCCACTTCTCTGAACTTCAATTTCCTCATAGTTTTATCAATCAAGATGATATGAGCATATATGTAGCTGACTTGCATGATATGGGACACAGAATGCTCAGTAACTGTCTTCAGTTGTAATTATTAATCATGTCCCAGGACCCTTCAACAAAAGTGCCACCACTTGGTGAATTCACTCCTGTCCACATATGGCTTTCAGTCTCAAAAGCTAAGGCTAGATTCCTGTATGCTTGAACAGATTCCTGTTCTTTGGGTAAATCCCATTTCCTAAACCCACCAGAAGGAGGTATAAGACTGACCAAGGCATAGCTAGGGTGTCCTCATGACAGGGAGGAGCCAACTCATCCACCCCCAAGATAGTATGATTTGGGAGCTGGGAGCAGGAGCTAAGGCACACCTTGTCCTCTTGGGCCCTGTTGGTACATTCTGACTCCAGGCCTTAAACACCTGAGGTTTTTTCCTCCTGGAATACCCTGGTGTAGAGCAGGGAGTGGCTTTGTAGCCCTGAGCATCCAAAGCCAATAAGAGACCTGGGCAGAGCTGAATCTATTGACTATTGGCCAAGCCCCTATCTCCCTGACAAAGCACTTGGAGATGCCCGGGGCCAAGGTCTCACTTTGAAGAATGGGCAAAATGTTTGTTGTGGTGGCATTATTCATTACTCTATAGATGGTCAGGTGGAAAGAATTAACCAGTCCCAGCTTGTTGTGTGAGCCCAATGCACCTTCTCCTCAACTTTTCACATGTGAATGGGCCTCTATAGAGCCTGACCTATTTCTCTCTCCCTCTGCACCCTTGGGACTGGCCTCTGTTGCTCCTGCACCCAAACTCTCCTCCTGATGAGTAGCTTGAATTGTTTACTAAATCTTTGGTCTCAACAAACTAGTCTCTTCTGGGTCTGGTCAGTTCTTTGCTTTTTTAGCTTTCTCATTCTATTTATTTTTCTATTGGTTTGTAAATTCTTCTTACACACACATGCACACACATATATACATATAAATATTATATATCTTAATGTCCATAGAGCCTAAAATAAATCATGCCTCTACCTTATAATAAATATATTCAACTACTAGAATGGCATTTTAAATCAATATATCAATCTATTCGGTCATGCACTGCTGAACTATGGCAATATACTCTGAGAAAAGCATCTTTTAACAATGTTGTCATTGTGCAAACATCAGAGTGCATGTACACAAACCTAGATGGTATAGAACAGTGGTCAGCAAACTGCGGCTTGCAAGCCACATGCGGCTCTTTGGCTCCTTGAGTGTGGCTCTTCCACAAAATACCACGTGTGGGCGTGCACTTACAGTGCGATTGAAACTTCGTGGCCCATGCGCAGAAGTCGGTATTTTGTGGAAGAGCCACACTCAAGGGGCCAAAGAGCCGCATGTGGCTCACGTGCCATAGTTTGCCGACCACTGGTATAGAACACTACGCACCTAGGCTATACAGAATACCACCATTGTATATGTGGTCTGTCATTGACCAAACCATTGATATGTGGTACATGACTATAAATGAAGCATTATAATTACTAGTATATCCCCCTTTATTATATAAGTAAGCTATACATATCAAAAAAGTGCTTTCAACTGATATAAGCTATAACATGAGCTGTTTATTAAATCATTTCATCATAACTTCATCAGTTTCTGTCTGAGTCATGATTTGATATGGAGAATCGCATCAGGTTCTTCTAACTTTCTCACTAAATTGATAGACATTATGTCTGAGGCAACCAGCATTGGCTGGCTGTGCATCTCATGGCCTGGAATGGAAAGCCTGTGCCTCAGCCCCTGCCACCAACACTGCTCCTGCTACCAAATAGGCTCATACTTTGCTGCCTATTCCTGGGTGATGTGGAGAGCTGCTGCCTCAGCCACCCCATCCATGCCTACACATGCGCAGGCCTCATTACTTATCTCTGTGGCCAATACTGGATTATGTTGTCAAGTCACTTGTGGTCTCAAAAAGTGGAGAATTTATCTTTCCTAATCAGTACTGAAGTATTTCAGCATTTTAACCCAGATCGCAGTTCTAGTGCAGCCTTCACCCTCTTGTGAACTACACAAAGACCTTCGGATTCTTTAACACTCAAATTGCTATCATTGTTGGAACTTTGTAATCTCTCTTTTTAAAATCCCCACACATCAGGCATTATTATTGTTGCTTTATCTAGTCATTGGTTTGTTAGATTTACCCAGACATGTCTCAGTATCTTTGCTGATCATTTTATCTTGCATCCCATTCTTTTTATGTGTGATCATTTTGCTTGAAGTACATCCTTTAGAATTGCCTTCAGTAAGGATTTGTTCATAGAAAGATATCTTGATTTTAGTTTGTTTTAAAATGTCTATTTTAGAGGATTAAAAATGGCAGCAGAATAAGTGGATGCTGCACAGACATGCTCCTAGGAACAAACTGGTATTTCAACTAAAATACAGAAAAACTTCCTGAATAACCAACGGAAAACTTGCAGGAGTGAACCCTGATACCCGAGGACCGAAAGTGGAGACCACATAGAGACTGGTAGAAGGGGCGGAGGTGTGAAAGGGCTGGCTGGGTGCCCACATGCAGCAACTGAAGACCCGGAGAGATATCTCAGCTGTGGGGGGTTGCCACTGAGAGCTCTGGGATCTAATCCTCAAGTTCCCCCCAACCCCCCAGAAGAGTGCACCAAACTGGGAAGAGTACCCACATAACATCTGGATGTGAAAAGCAGTGGGGTGCTATCTGCCAGGGAGTGACAGCTGAAAATTCAGGCACCCTCTTAAAGGGCCAACACACAAAATTCCCTGTGGTGCCACCCACCCTGTGCTTTGGCAGAAGGGGGGTGAAATGGACTGGAGCTGTGAGAGCAGAAGCCAGGACTAGGGACTTGGGGGATAGAGCTCAGAAGGCAGACACCCTAAGTTTCCTGGGCTGATTTATTCCCTCACACAGCACAGGACATCTTTCCCAATATACATTTGCCTTGCCTGAGGGGAAGAGAGTTGACACACTCTATTGGAAAACACCTTGCTATGAGGCCATTTAAGACATTAAAAATAACAATTATCCTCCAGACAGAAGCAACTGCCCCACACTGTTGAAAAAACTCTCACCACACCTGAGGACGATTGCCTGAGGGGCAATTCAAGTTGGAATCCTATTAGTCAGCCTCTGGAGGTTTTGTCTTTGCCTGATCTAATTAGTCAGAATCAGCCTTTAACACTGTCCTACACTAGTGATTGAGAGGTGTAGAGCAGTGGTCGGCAAACTGCAGCCTCTTGAGTGGCTCTTCCACAAAATACCGCGTGCGAGTGCACACATACAGTGCAATTGCAACTTCATGGCCACACTCAAGGGGCCAAAGAGCCGCATGTGGCTCGCAAGCCACAGTTTGCCAACCACTGGTGTAGAGGATCTAGCTAATACATAGTCACAAACCCAAACAGACAGCCAAAATGAGGAAACAAAAAAACAACCCCCAAATAAAAGAACTAGAGAATTCTCCAGAAGAAGAGTAAATGAAGCAGAGAAAAGAAGTTTATCTGAAACGAAGTTCAGATAATGATGATAAAGATGCTCAACAGCATGAAAAAAGATATAGTAACTATGAAAAAAGAACAGTCTGAAATAAAGAATGACATAACACAAATAAAGAACACATTGGAAGAAATACACAGCAGATTAGGGGAAGCTAAGGATCAAATCAGTGATTTAGAAGACAGAGTTGAAAATATCACTCAATCAGAGAACCGAAAAAGAAAAAAAACCAATTAAAAAACAGGAGAAGAGCTTAAGGGGGCTGTGGGACAACATAAAACGTAACAATATTAGAATATCAGGTGTGCCAGAAGAGGCAGAAAGGGAGAAAGGCATAGAGAAGGTGTTTGAAGAAATAATGGTAGCAAACTTCCCTAACCTGGTAAAGGAAAAAGTCACACAAGTTCAGGAGGCACAGAGAACCCCAAACAAGAAGAACCTAAACAGGCCCACACCCAGAAAAATCATAATTAAAATGCCAACAATTAAAGACAAAGAGAGAATCTTAAATGCAGCAAGAGAAAAGAAAACTGTTACCTACAAAGGAGTTCCCATAAGGCTGATACCTGATTTCTCTTCAGAAACTCTACAGGCCAGAAGGGAATGGCATGAAGTACTCAAGGTAATGGAAAGCAAGGATCTGAGACCAAGATTACTATATCCAGCAAGGCTATCATTCAAAATAGACAGTCAAATAAAGACCTTCTCAGACAAAAAAAGGCTGAAGGAGCACATCACCACCAAGCCTGCATTATAAAAAATGCTAAAGGGACTGCTATAATGAGAAGAAACAGAGAGAGAAACCTAACCATACAGAATTAAAATGGCAATAAATAAGTACCTATCAATAATAACCCTAAATGTAAATGGATTAAATGCTCTAATCAAAAGGCATAGGGTAGCTGAATGGATACAAAAACATGACTCAACTATATGCTGTCTACAAGAGAGCCATCTCAAAACAAAAGACACACAGAGAATGAGAATGAAGGGATAGAAAAAATTTTTCCACGCAAATGGGAAAGAAAAAAAAGCTGGAGTAACAATACTCATATCCAACAAAATAGATTTTAAAATGAAGACCATCACAGGAGACAACAAAGGTCACTACATAATACTAAAGGGATCGATCCAACAAGAGGATATAACCCTGGTAAACATATATGCACCCAATATGGGAGCACCTAAATATAGAAAAAAAACTTCTAGAGGACTTTAACAGAGAAATCAACAACAGAAAGGATATTGCACCCCTATGTTTATAGTAGCACAATTTATAATAGCTAAGATTTGGAAACAGCCTAAGTGCCCATCAGCAGCTAAGTGGATTAAAAAACAGTGGTACATCTACACAATGGAATACTACCCTGCTGTAAAAAAGAAAGAACTCTTACCATGTGCAATAGCATGGATGGACCTGGAGAGCATTATGCTAAGTGAAATAAGCCATTCGGAGAAACATAAATATCACATGATTGCACTCATTTGTGGAATATAATGAACAACATAAACTGATGAACAAAAATAGAGCCAGAGGGGGGAAAAAAAGAAAAAATATTTTAAATATAATAGAAGTAATTCTGTTATTTGCAGATTTTTAATATTTCCTACAACTTTAGTGATATACTATGTTAGTACAGTTTTAGTAATATTATATTTAAAATATTTTTTTGAAATATTAATACTTATTGCATGTAATCTATCTATAATAATAAAAGCATAATATGCTAATTAGACTGGACAGCTGAACATCCTTCCAGACATCCTTCTGGACGTCCTTCCAGATGAAGCAGGGGCTGCGTGGGCTGAGGCAGAGGCAGCTGCCACGATGGCAGGGACTGAGGCAGGGGCAGCCACTGCAGTGGTGGTGAGGGCTGAGGCAAACCGCTGTGGTGTGAGGGTTGAGCCCCTTGCACGAATTTCGTGCATCCTGACTGTAGTATATATATAAAAGTCTAAGTGAATGCTCAACTGGTTGACCATTCGACCTGTTGACCAGTTGCATGATATGCACTGACCACCAGGGGGCAGATGCTCAGCACAGGAGCTGCCCTCTGGTGGTCAGTGTGTTCCCACAGTGGAAGCACTGATCAGCTGACCAAGGGGCTCACAGCTGGCTGCTGCAGCCCGGAAACCACAGTGGACAGAGTCTAATGAGTGGGGGCAGCAGGCGCGGCGGGACTGGGATGAACAGGAGCAGCAAGCAGGAGCAGCAGGTGGTGCTGGATGGCAGTTTCATCCCGATCCCTCAGGCCATGCCGAGGGACCCCACTGGTGCACAAATCCGTGCACTGGGCCTCTAGTATTATTATATTTAAAATCATTTTTCTTGAAATATCAATGTTTATTGTATGTAAATGGCTAATTGTTTTGTATCTACAAATAGATTTTTTTGGTATATTGTGAAAAAAATAAACTTAATGAAAAAAATAATAAAATGTCTATTTTACCTACTTTTTAAAAAATATATATTTTATTGATTTTTTACAGAGAGGAAGGGAGAGAGATAGAGAGTTAGAAACATCGATGAGAGAGAAACATCGAACAGCTGCCTCCTGCACATCTCCTACTGGGGATGTGCCCGCAACCCAGGTACATGCCCTTGACCGGAATCGAACCTGGGACCTTTAGGTCCACAGGCCGACGCTCTATCCACTGAGGCAAACGGTTTCAGCTACCTACTTTTTATGGGCCCAGCACGCTTCCGCTGCGCGACTCTGCTCTCTTACCTACTTTTTAAACAATAATTTTTCTGTGGTTACAATTCTTGATTGGCAATTATTCCCTCATTACTGTGAGAATATCATTCTATTGTCTTCTGCCTTTCATTGTTACTGTTTAAAATCAGTTGTCATCCTAATTGTAGCACCTTTATGGCTAATCTTTCTGGGTGCTTTTAAAAACTGCCCTTAGATGTCTGTATTCTGGCGATGCACTCTACTGGGTTGATTGCTGATTTCTCTCTATCCCTCTCTCCTGTTTTGGATATTTTTCCTTCCTATGATGCTTGTTCCCTGTTTTTAAGGTTTTGCCTGTTAGTTTGTATTTTCAGAATTTTATCTGTGGGAAGTCTTTGGAGATGGGAGATGTTGGGATAATAACATTATCCTTTATGACTAAGTCTCCTTCTGAGATGCCCTACTGTTGTGGTTTGAGTTTTCCTATGGAGTCTGGTGACACTGTTTCTTCTCCTTGCCTCTAACAGTAGCAATGGCTTCCCATTTTTTGCTATTCTCCAGGTACCTCAACCTTTCTCATCTGTTCACTTAGCCTTACTTGCAAATAGACTAGTCTTTGAAAAGTCTCCTAAAAAATCTCAACTGAGTACATCATATGTTTCCTGCTGAGACCCTGAGTAATATAACCTATGTGAAGAGAACTTAATAAATGATGGCTATTATTGTTATTGAGGAAACCACTTTCTATTGAGGGGAATTAATATTCAGGAATAATATGTTTATTAAATAATATGCTCATTAAATTTTTACCTGAATTATAAGTAATTCAGGTAAAAATGATTATGGTGCTTGGGGACAAAAATGTTTCAAAAAAGATATGCCCAGAGCACTGTGGAATGAGAAAGAAAGCCCTCTCCACTTCTTTAACGCCCCATCCCCTTAGTCAGTCTAAGGAAGCCCCAAGTCCTTCCCTCAGGATATTGCCATCGGAAGCCATTTCGAGCCCATTCTCACCACCATGACCTTCCCCCACACCTCCCTCTCACTCACCTTGGAGGGCTATAAAGTGAGGGAGGTACACAGCTGCCACAGCTCCTGGTTTGGCCTTGATGTCAAAAAGAGGCCCTGCAACCATCCAGCTGTGCTGTGGGACAGTCTGGTCCAGGAACTGGTCCCAAGCACAGAATTCAATCTCAATGGTCACTGGCCCTCTCACCACAAAGTAGAGACCTGTGTTGGGCCAGTGGTAGGAACCAGCCACAGGGAAGTGAGCTCTGGGGATAGCAGAGAGAGGTAGACATTGAATTAATTACTCCACACAAACTCATTGACTACCTACTGGATGCCCAACCCATGTAGTGCACTGTGTATGTAGTAGAGTGGCTGCAAGCTCAGATGTCACAGCCAGAGGGATTTGGGGTTGATTCTTGGCCCCTCTTCTCCCTACTGTGGATCCCTGAACAAGTCATTGAACTTCCCTAATCACAGTTTTCTTATTTTTAGGGAAAAGTAATAACAATACTATCTCTTAAAGTTGTAAGTAATAAGTGACCTAATGTATGCTGATGGCTTAATACTTGTGTGGGTGTGGTTAGCTGTTTCTATAATGGTGATAATGATGAGAATAATAATTTATATATATAAAGAGCCAGAGGCCGTCACATCCGAAACAACCAAATGGACGACCCAACAGCTGAGTGAGGTGACACGGCCGGCAGGGGGGTTAGTGAGGGATGACCAAATGACTGAACACCAGGATCTGTAAGGTGACCAGGCTGGCAGGGGGTGCAGTGAGGGGCAACCAGGGTGGCAGAGGGGGTCAGTTGGGGGTGACCAGGCTGACAGGGGGGCATTTAGGGGCAACCAGTCCGGCATGGGGGCAGTTAGGAGCAACCAGGCCTGCAGAGGGGCAGTTGGGGGGGCGACCAGGCTGGCAGGGGGGCATTTAGGGGTGACCAGGCCAGCAGGGGGGCAGTGAGGGGTGACCAGGCCAGCAGGGGGGCAGTGAGGGGCGACCAGGCCAGCAGGAGGGGCATTTGGGGGTGACCAGGCCAGCAGGGGGGGCAGTTGGGGGCAACTAGGCTGGCGGGGAGGCAGTGAGGG